TATATATATATATATATATTAATTAATATGATTAATTAATAAATTAATATATATAATATTAATTATTATATATATATTAATTATTATTATTAATTAATATATAAATTAATAATTAACTCCCCTGCAAAATTGCAGGGGTGGGCAGCTAAGTGACGTGGGGTAACTCCCTACGTCACTGCTTTTTGTTCTTCTTCCTTTGCAGTTCTGCAAAACAAAAGAAAAACAGAACAAAAAAAAGGGACTGCCAATTTCTTTCTCAAGCTCACTCTCTCAAACTCTCCCCCTCATTCCAAACAAGGTGCTCCCACAAGCACGATTCTCGAAATCCAAGAGGATAGCAAGGGAGATATTTTGGTGGTGTTCGTTGGGAAAAAGTTGAAGAAACGTTCTTCTAAGGTAATGGTTTCCCCTGTATTTTCCCTCTTTCAATTTCGATTTTGTATCCCTAAAATCAGCAATGAAAATCCGCTTCTGCTCCGGGAATCACATCCCTTCACTTTCAACTCACAAATACAATTCAGCATGCTTCCACAACATAAACAACATTCTAATAAATGAAATAATAAACCAATCATGCTCTCACAATATAACTTTTCTTAACAATGGCTCCACAATGAGTTTCGTCGCAACAAAGCATAATCAAACAAATTTTAAACCATTGGAGTCCGACATAGTTCACCCAAAACACTTAATATCCGGCATCAATATTCAATAAGCATTACTAAGTATAATAACACACAAGGCACGCCGAACAACTCATGCATATTCAGACAACAAAAATTTCCATAGCAATACTCAGCAGTTTAGCAAAGCAGAAACCACACCATTTTCACCGACACATATCCAACACTACTCCAAGTATACCGATTAACACAACGAGAGTTATTTATGTAACGACCCAGAAATTTCCGCGCACCTCTAGGTCACATGAACTACCCAACTAATCAGTTTTAGCCCCGATTACAACCTGCCAACTTCCTGTGCACATAAACTTATAAAATCAAGCTCCAAACCTCATCAAATTAACGATAAACCAATCTAAAAAAAAACATGCAACAACCTTCGTGAACTACTTCACGAGGCAAGTTTATTATTCAATCTAAATGAATCTAAACAAATGGGATAAAGCTCAAATAGGCACCTAACCCGAGGCATAACTAACAACAAGGGAAAAATCTCCCAATTATTCAAAGGTACATAATCCGTTTATTGGCCACAACATAAGGCCCTAACAAAAGAATTAGACTAAATAAGGAAAACTAAGCAGCCTATAGTCCTCGTTTGTCAGGTCTCCCCCGTCCCATCAGCATGGTCACCCTCGAGTCCTTCACCTGAAACAATCATTGTAGCAGGGGGGGTGAGTACATACAATATACTCCGTAAGTAGCCCTCACCAAGCACTCACAAACATCATGCTCATAACCATAAAGGAAAAACATGCATCGTCATGCTCTATCATTACAGTATGCGAACAACCATAGACATGCTTTACTGGTACATTATATATTCATCCATAAACATGCTCTATAATACCCAATACTAACCACAAACTTTATAAAAACAATTACCGTCCACCTGGCTTCCCGACACCTCAAATACAACTATGATCACCTCAGTTGTTCGAGCTCTTCGAAACCATTCTTTTGGTAGTGTCAGCCCCTGACCATTTATACCCAGAGCCCCGACACTAGTGCATCGACTCTCGACCATTTATATTCGAGGCCTCGATGTCTTACAATCTATTGGCCCTTTACCATTTATACCCAAGGCCCCAATAGTTCTTCTTCCGAAAGACTCCTCGCATCGACCCCCGATCATTTATACCCGAGGCCTCGATACCCAATTAGTGACGTATCAGCCCCCGACCATTTATTCCCGAGGCCCTGACACTCACCCATTCACTTCATAATTTGCAAAACTCCACATATCGTTTCTAGCCTCCAACCAAGATTCCAGTACTAACCCCTTAATAACACCAACCACCACAACGCCCATCAACAACACCACCACTAGTATGATTTCAATGCATCTCACAACTCACCAACACATTTCAGCATGCTTCCACAACATAAACATCATTCTAATAGCAAAACAATAAATCAAGCATGCTTTCACAACATACCAAATCCTAACAACAACGCCACAGTGAGTTTAGTCATAACAGAGCATAGTCAACAAATTTCAAACGATTGGAGCCCGACCCAATTCATCCAAACTCTTAATATCCCACGTCCAAATTCAATAAGCACTGCTAGATATAATAAATATTAATGAGACACACCAAACATTCCATACGAATTCAGACAACGAACATTTCCAAAATAGATTCACTTTAACGAACATTCCCTACAATCATACATCATTCTACAACAGATCTCAGTAGCTCAACAACACAAAATTCACACTATTATCACTGACGGACATTCAACACTAACCAGACATACAAAACTACATAAACAGGAGTTAACTGCACAACCACGCATCAGAACCAATATTACGCATCATAAACAGTACATCGGCAACCAAATAACAAACATCAACGCACGCACCCGCCCCCGTGCTACTTACAAACACTTGTCCTAAAGCTCCTAAGCTCGTTGAGCACTTCCTACTACAAAAGAGCATGATCTCGAGGTTAGTAACCAATTAGAAACATTTAGTTATAAACGAAACCGAGTTTAGGTAGAGTCGTTACCTACTAACCCACACTAAAACAACTTGGGTTAGGAGTGGGTTGACGTCGAAGGGGTTCGGGCTCCCAATCTAAGTTCAAAAGGCCTTAAGCTTGCTGTCCCGACGTCTAAAAGTGATGAGTAATGCTGATTTGGGTCCGATTAGAGGTGGGTCAACGCCGAACCCATGCCGAAAAGAGTGGGTAAATAGATTGAGCTTCGGTTGCGTGTGAGGCAGCGTCAAACTTCACCAGATGGCTACTGTTCACGT